CAGTGACCCCCACACACGTTACATATCAGCGCACACGCCGGAGGAAGAGTAATGATTGGAGCACCAGTGCTCCTGTGTAACTCTATACTGATGACCTGGAGGGGCTATTAAAGCGTTCCAAGTGCACACAGTGTTACGGCTTGACATGTTGGGAATCCCATTTCCTCGGCACAACCTCATCTTTTATATTTCACCAGAAAATAGGTCATGAATTGCATTTATGTGCTCAGAAATAAACGTTACTATATTGTTCCTGAAATGTTGCCTTTCATAAACTGTTGTGCTAATATCATGTAACATAGAAAATGACAACTCCCAACATTGTATTATATAGGGTGTCTGCTATCAAAGAATACATCAGATTTGGGGTTTAGTGATCTTCAGGAATAAAATGATTTTTAAAAGTGTAAACAAAAAAAAAAAAAAAAAAATCTCCCCAGGACTCCATGGACCCCTTCATTCCACGCCGTCTCCAGGAACCGGGAAACCACAGAGAAGCCAAGTGTCCCCCGACTTCCTCTCCAGGCTGGGATGTCACTCTGGTTAAGTGCCACCTACAGGGGAAGAAGCAGACTGCACCGGCCTACATCTGCTCTATGCTTTGTCCGATCAGGATGGCGGCCATTTCTCCCTGAACACAGAGCGCCCTAAACACGAGGTAAACGTGGTGCAGCATTGAGCCCCGTCCAGCTGTAGTGTAGACTTTGACAGGCTGCAGGCAGCGGGGCTGGACGCTGTACCTGTGCCTACCAGGTGTATTATAATGCCAGCATTGCACCCACAGGGGCCGGACCCCCCATGTACAAGGGGCCTAAGAGATACCATCAGCTTGTGTCCCATTCCACCAGACTCCTAGAACTGGAAGAGGACATTTTTGGGGGGGATGTGTTGTAGAAGAACCCAGACCACGGTATTGTGCGGTGAAAATATCATCCAACTTTATTCATCATATATATGTGACACTTTAACAACAGAAGGAAAGAGATAGATTGTTTACATTTCAAGGATCTATTTATACCATTTATATCATCTATGCTAAGAAACTGATTAACATATGACACGCCCCTCATTAATACCAGCCCCACCCACTTATGTTTCCCTCTAAACATCCAAATCCCTGTAACTTCCCAGAAGACACTTTCATCTTTTATCCATAACAAGCTGATTGGGTACAAGAGAACCCCGAGCCCCTCCTGCTCATTCCCACACAACAAGTCCATGTCACCATCTACAAGGTGAGAGGACCTGAAGGAGAACAAGACCATGACCACCAGGACCATCGCCTGACTGAAGCCATGCTCACATTTCTTTCTAATGCTGCTTCTATGGTCTACTCAGATACAGATTTGGCAGATGTACATTCGTGTCTTCAAGGAGCTGATCAAACATGATCTGTGCTTGACCATCTTTTTGGGGACCAGAGGTGACATTAGGGGTCTGATAGACCTCTTGTGTTTCTTTAAAGAGGATCTGTGACCAGCAATATGTTATCACATGCGAGGCTATTAACCCCCTATATGGCAATAATAAAGTTCAGAGAAAGAAAAGTGTAAAGTAACACACACTGTAAATGAAAAAACACACAAAACACATTTTAAAGCCCCCAGTTCCCGTATACATGAGCAATTGCAAGGGTTGGGTGCGGTTATGTAGGAAAACATCAATCACACTACACATTGTACATATCTCTGCACACACCAGAGGGAGAGGAATAACTCTAGGGCCATCATTCATGGTTCACTATATAAACTGATGACCTGTAAAGGCTTTTAAAGCGTCACCTATGGACAATATTTGGTACTGAAGTTTGTCACCATTTCACAAGCACATGACATTTTTAAAGCTTGACATGTTTGGTATCTATATACTTGATGCCAACCTCATCTTTCATTTTTCAAAAATGGGTCATATATTGTGTTTTTTGTGCACTGGAATTATTGTTAGTGTTTTTTTTACTGAAAATATGCATTTTCATAGACAGCTGCGCTAATATTGTGTGACAAAAAATTTTAACCACCACCATTTTATTCTCCAGGGTCTCTGCTTTCAGAAAAAAAAAAAAAAATGTAGGGGGCTTTAAATAATCTTCTGTTCTAACAATGTGAATGTAATCATGTGCATAAACAAGCAAAATCAACTGGCAGCGAAAGACACAACAGCAATGTATAAAATTATCATCAAATCTATAGTAGCAACTAATGGCCTAAGAAGCAAAGCCACCATATTACTCAACCAAGTTCCAACTAAACCCATCCAAGAAAATGGATCCCACTTCCCCCCACCCAGGTGACTGTTGGAACTCCTTTACCTTGTGTAGATATCCCCTTCTGAGATCCTCATGATCTAATATAAATGTACAACACTCTCTGACACCAGATTGTAGACTCCACCTTGATCTTCTGAGAGATAATCAGCCGCCATGCAGTTCTGTGACACCACCTTAGGTGATGGAGCCACTTCTGCTGTCAGCTCTGCTATACCATCAATGGTGTCATTGGTTATCTGATCCATGACTCCAGTACACCGGTTCATCTTACTTACTTATCTTAGATTACTTAGATTCCCCATCCCGTCTATGAAGGGCTCACTGCATAAAAACATCTCCACTCCAGTGAAAATGTTTCTTCTCACTGGAAGGCCAGGGGAGTATTGGGAGAAATTGAGGCTTTCCCTTACAGATATGGGGGAGGGGCAACATAACCTAAAGTACAACTATGGGTGGAATTGAAGGGAAGCCATTTTAGGGTGCTCCTTCCACACAAGAAGCAATGTATATGGAAGGACTAGGAATCCATTAGACCAATGGGGATTAAACATTCTGCAATACATTGAGACACCATGAAATGTTACTGGCCTGTGATTGGCTCTCCTATTGTTAGTGAAGTGAGACTCCCCTTGTCGGTGTCATTAATGGAAAGAAACCATGTGAAATGTTTCTACCCAAATCCAAAAAGGTGACACCCTTGGTTAGGTACCCATCCTACTATTCCTGATAGGAGTTTGCAGTCCCTGCTACTACAGGAAACATGCGGGCGATCATTTACACCTTTTACAGCAGGACAGTAAATATCAGAACACAATTCAAACATCAGACCAGCAACAGGTTCTCTATAAGGTCCAACCCCCCATATGAATGACAACTGACAGTTGTGAGCACCCACAGCATTGTTATAGGATTTGCCCCAACCCCTCCAACTGCCATTTTTTGCCAAAAGGCTTAACCTCCTACAGGAAGTAAAAAAAAAAAAATCTACTCGGAAAAAAAAAAAAAACTGCTCTGCTAATGACAGATTTGATTATTAACCTCGTACCACCCTCCCACCCTCCATATAAGGTAATGACGGGCACAAGGCGGTTCTCTCGTTCTGGGAGGTTGTCATATGACGTCCTCCCACTCTAACCGCACGTACGTGGCTGCGGGGAGCGCGCAGCGTGGCGATCAGTGGTGCGCTGTGTGTCCCTCTCGGATACAGCTTATCACTGATCAATGGAAAGAGCCGAAGATGTTGGCTCGGTCATGTGATCAGCTGTGTCCAATCTCAGAGCTTATCACATGTAAATAGGGAAATGCCGGTTATCATCATTTCTTTCCTCATGAGCTGACACGCTGACAGAGGAGAGCTGGTAATCGGCATTCCTCAGAGGGAATATGTACACTGATCATCAGGGCACTGATGATCAGTGTGCCCTGATGATCAGTGTAACCCCAGCAGTGCCACCTGTCAGTGCTCATCCATGCCACCTGCTAGTTCTCATCAGTGTCACATCAATGCCACATATCAGTGCCTTCTAGTGCACGTCAATGCCACATATCACATACCTATTAGAATGACAGAGATGCGAAAATCGCTAATTTTTCCCATTCAAAAATGGCGGTCGAAGCCTCCAGTCATTAGGAGGCATTGACTTAAAAGGAGTGGCAAGTGAGACGTCTGTATCCCTTCAGACGAAGTCCGGAAGTGACAAAACGTGTTAGGGGAGTGACATCAAGACGCACGCACGCAGACCGGAAGTGTTTGCCAACGGCCATTTTGTTTTATCCACACAATGGTTTTTTACATTGTTTGGTGGAAATCGCCTAGAGCCATGTCTGGAGCTGAAAATATCTATGTTTAAATGTAAGTGATTAATAAATCTATCCCTATGCTTTGAACTATCAGTCCTGAGACCATTATTCTCTCTTCTGAGGACCTTGGAAAAATGCCTTTGAAGAGAGTTTGGAGGATTTCTGATCCATAGTATTGTCAAAGCTTTTCATACTCACAGAGGGTAATAGTATTTAGTAGTATTGTGTGCTGGTTGATGGTGTGCACAGAGTTGTAGGGATCACTGAGTGTTCACAGCTGATTTGTGTTTATGTGCACTATAAGAAAGGGGTTTTTTATTTGAATAATGTATTCATTATTATATAAATACATATATAATTTTTTGCACGATATTGAGAGTTGCACTGGGTGATTATTTTATTTTACTATGGTAATGCACTAGATTTTGTATCTTTTATTTTTGAGGTTTTTACTGGATGAATAGGAGTCAATTCCTTTTATATGATGAAAAATTTGAAAATTTGGGATTTTTTGGACACTTTTTTTGTTTTTTGGACTTTTGTGATTTTTTTTTTGAACACTTTGTTTTAATTTAGTTTATTTTATTGTCTCTCTCAATATTTCACAAAAAGGTTTATATATAACAAATGCCACCTGCTAGTTCTCATCAGTGTCACATCAATGCCACATATCAGTGCCTTCTAGTGCACATCAATGCCACAACCTCAGTGCCCATCTGAGCTGCCTTTCAGTGTCACCTATCAGTGCCAGTCAGTGCCACCTATCAATGCCAGTCAGTGCCACCTATTAGTGCTGCCAATCTGAGTTAGTGCTGCCTTTCAGTGCCCATCATGATGCCTGTAAATGCGCATCAGTGCTACCTACCAGTGCCTCCTCATCAGTGCCCATCAGTGCTACCTAATATTGTCCATAAGTGCAAACTATCAGTGCCCATCACTGCAGCTTGGGGATGTGAAACTAACTTGTGACACCTGAAACTTCTTTAATATCTCTTTTCTTCCAGAATTTAATCAATGCTGAAATTTGTGAATCATCCGGTGATAGATTAGACCGGCATTAACTGTAAAAGTTTTTGCCACATTGAGAGCATTAAAATGACTTCTCTCCAGTGTGAATCCTCTGGTGTGTCTGATAAGATTTGACTTCACTGTAAAAGCTTTATCACATTCAGAACACTGATATGGCTTCTCTCCAGTGTGACTCTTCTGGTGTCTGATAAGATTTGACTTCACTGTAAAAGCTTTATCACATTCAGAACACTGATATGACTTCTCTCCAGTGTGACTCTTCTGGTGTCTGATAAGATTTGACTTCACTGTAAAAGCTTTATCACATTCAGAACACTGATATGGCTTCTCTCCAGTGTGAATCCTCTGGTGTGTGTGTGATCAGATTCATGACTTCACTGTAAAAGCTTTATCACATTCAGAACACTGATATGACTTTTCTCCAGTGTGTGAATCATCTGGTGTGTGATAAGACTTGACTTCTGTGTAAAAGCCTTATCACATTCAGAACACTGATATGGCTTCTCTCCAGTGTGAATCCTCTGGTGTGTGATAAGACTTGACTTCTGTGTAAAAGCTTTATCACATTCAGAACACTGATATGGCTTCTCTCCACTGTGAATCCTCTGGTGTCTAAGGAGATGTGACTCCTGTGTAAAAGCTTTATCACATTCAGAACACACTGATATGGCTTCTCTCCAGTGTGAATCCTCTGGTGACAGATAAGATATGACTTCTGTAAAAGCTTTATCACATTCAGAACACTGATATGGCTTCTCTCCAGTGTGAACTCTTTGGTGTACTATAAGCTCACTCTTTCTTATAAAAGTTTTGTCACATTCAGAACAAGGATATGGCTTCCCTCCATTGTGAACCTTCTGGTGTGTGATATATTTTCTCTCCATTGTAAAATCTACAAACAAGAAGTAGTTTGAAATGACTCCTCTTATGTATACTTGGGTTGGACTTTATTGTAAAGCCATTGTCACTTCCAGAACACTGAAATTACTTTTCTCCTGCTGGATCAATGTGGAAGAGGATCCAAACCATGACTTTTAGAACACAGATATGACTTGTATCCCGTGTGTGAATCCTCCAGTGAACTGCAATAAAGACTTTCAGTCAATTAAGACACCCACGTGTTTTATTTTCCATGTGACTCAGCTGTATTCATGAAGACCAAAATGTCCAAAAACTGGTTCATCAATCTACCTGTAGAGAAAGAAAAAATAAATCTATATAAAGGGCTACATAAAGTTGCTTTCTATTTTTAATGTTCATTACTAAATATATCTTATGAATAGAAAGAATATGTACAGCATTATCTACAGTATTTTTTTTTAATCAAATAGATTTTATTAATAAAGTTTATAAGTGCGCACAGTATTCCCAACATTCAGCCCAGACAATGGAGTCATACATTCTCACGTATAGGCAGTTGTGGCACTGTTACAGATCATACAGAACAATAACTTGCTTTGTCTATGGTGTCACTTTTACCTTTTATAAACAAATGAACAGAGAAAAGAAGAAACAACCTAGAACAATTCAGCTGTACACGGCAAGTAACTCCCCCCAGTACATACATAGATAGCTGACACCGATCAATGAGGCCTGTGTCTACAGGATCATACCCCAAGTATCAGTCTCTCCATGTAGTCACCATTCAGTAGGATACAACTGGCCGTTCTCCTCTATGGGGCTAAAAGAGCTAAGATTTAAAAGCCTATGAAGAACTAACTAGAAGTGAACAAGGAGTATCCAGCCAGTTCTGCCAGACATACATCTCCTGGGGGAATTACAATGTTGGCAACTTTGTTTTTTCACATGTTAATGTGAGAGTTCACCTGCTCAATCCACTGTTGTCTGCTGGGAGTTTGAGATGATAGCCAAGATCGGGATATTTTTTTATGGTCAATAAACAGCAGCCTCACTATTGCTATATGACTTGTAATAGGAGGAGGTGTAAAATAATTCCTCCTCTATTGAGACCAAGAGGCACACCCGAGGAATATTGAATACTAACATTATAATGCTGGTCATATCGTTCCACTTTTTGAATAATTTTGGACATCTCCAAAACATGTATCAAATCCCCGACATCACCGCTACAATTGGGGTCATAAGGGGAAATCCCTCCTGTCCTAGCTGAACAATTGGGCTGGGGTCCAGAAAGATCTATGCAAAAGAAATGACTGAGTTTCTGTGAAGAGGACAGAGAGATGAGAGGTATGGAGGTCAAAATCACCTCCCATTACTATCTCTCTTATTTTCTCTATTTATCTTCTGTCTCCCATTTCCTTCTACAAGTCGAGTAAGAATCAAAAGACTGGAATAAATATATGAGAGATCATCATGCCTTTCCCACTGGTGCCATCTGAAGCCCATTAACAAGTGTAAGAGTGATGTGAAATCTGTATCTGATGGAAGTAGCAATCGATGGATGGGATCTAATGTGTCTACTAAGTCCCACCTGGTAAGATGTTGAAGTTGGGCAGCTATAATATAAAGTCTAACATTTGGTATTGCTAGGCCTCCTTGGTCTTCACCATACTGTAGAGTAGTGAGTTTGATTCTAGCTGACGGCTTCTTCTAAATGAGTTCCCCAAACTGGGAGTCTATACTGGAGAACCACTTACGAGGTGTCCACATGGGAGAATTGTGGAGTATATAGAGAGGAATTGTGGGGTCCATATCTTCTCTTGTTCATAGATTTTATTGGAAAGATATAATAGTTTACAAGAGCTCATAACAATGTGATTGCAGGACTCACCAACAGTAAGTCAGAAGGGGTACAACCCTTAGAGGTAACGTACAGGTTGTAATTTGTACAGTACAAATAATATCTTCATACATTAAAGTGGAGTTCCAGTGAAAATAAAAAAAAAATTAAAGTCATCAGCTGCAAAAACAGTAGCTGCTGACTTTTAAAAAATAGACACCTACCTGTCCTTCAATCTCGTGGTGTCCTCCCCCGCAGCCCGTTTCACTGGCTGCCCTGTGTTTCCAGTGCCGGCATCTTCAAAGTGGGCACCCAGCTGTGACAGCTTGCAGCTTCAAGAGCGAGTATCTCTGTGCTTTGTGAATGGTCCTGTCCCAGAATACTACAGGGAGGGAGGGGGGAGGACAACAGATCACCGAGGTCAGGGGTGGGATAACTGCGGCTCTCCAGCTGTTGCAGGACTACAAGTTCCATCATGCCTCTGCAAGTCATAGGAGTCATGCTTGTAACTTCCGGTCTTTTAATGCCTCATGGGAAATGTAGTTCCACAACAGCTGGAGAGCCACAGTTTGCCCACCCCTGACCTAGGTGATTGCAGCAGAAGTGGGAACGAGTACTTGTCAACTTCAGGTACGCCCCCCCCCTCAAAAGGTGCCAGTTCTTATTGGGAGTGGGGTCCTTAAAGCAGGACTTCCCCTTTTGGGTGGAGCTCTGCTTTAACTTCAGCAAGAGATAACAGTGCTATAGTATCAAGGGGGGAGTGAATGTAGAGACTGAAACATGTTATATACTCTATAATATCATTTCTGGTACTCTCACAGTGGGAGTATAGATTTAGTACTTCAACCTGTATGCAGATATCAGTGGCAGACGAGTGGGTGACCTGTCCGCCTCACTGAAAATTCAAACTGATAGTGTAGGTTCCCCCAACTGGGAAAAAAACCCATAAGGGATAAAGAGCTAATGAGAGGAAAGGTGAAAAGGAAGAGAGCAATGGAGAGATAAGAGCAAGAGTAGTGAAGAAAGGGGTACAGATAAGGGGGGAGGAGAGGAGGTCCCCAGGGGGGAGGGTGTGTGCCTGTATAGAGTAGCAACTGAGTAGTGGGTTACCTAATGGACTCAGGACTACAAAGAGAGTAAGGTTTCATCAGAGTTTGAGGGTAGGAAATGGTCAACCCATGGTTGCCATAGTTGTTCATTTTTATGCACTCTGTCTAATAGGACGGCTTCTACTTTGACATGTATCGTGGCTCGAGTGACACTATTCTTAGTTTCAGTGGTATTGAGGTGGGGGGATTTCCAGGCCTTCGCTATGGTTTGCTAGCCGTGGTGGTGACCTACAGGAGTAGTTTGAATTGCCAGTGTGTCACTTCTTGGGCCTTTTGCAAGTAAATGAATGGACACTGGTCAACCGACCCCAGTCCAGTGTTGAGGAATGGCCTCAGCTGCCATTCTAGCCACGCCCTCTGATGCATTTCACCCCGCCCACTAGGGCTTGGTCACACTGCATCCATCCCTTTACTTGTATTGGCTGACACTGGAATCGCTCTGACTCATGCTCCCCTCTTCTCACTTGCCGGTGGGGTGATCCCTTTCCTTCCATCCATAGCTTGCAGACACACCCATAAGGTATACTTCTTGGGGCTTGTTATTAAATGAGGCAGTGGCCGGATGGATATATATACTGTAACTTCTTCATAAAGAACTGTAGGCATATGGAATATTTTGCACCAATACGTTTGAAAAAGCGGGCAGGTCCACCACATGTGAAGGCTGGTAACTGCTTCAGAGCAGCCACAAAAACAAGTCAGGGATTAGGATGGAATGAATGTAGTAATCTGGGCAGGGACCAGGTACCTGAGGGGAGAGGTCTTTGCTATAGGCAGCACTGGTCACACATATATATATTAGGGCATCAACTCTTGTCAGCGTCAGCTCTGAGGAAAGGGACACATCCCCCGAAATGCATCAGCAGGCTGACAACACAACCAGTCGGACTCTGCCATCAGTTTGGGCCATTGTGATGAACCATCCCTTTGCGATAACATTTTGTCCTTTCTGTTCTGGTTTTCTCCCCCTTGTTAAGTGGTCTTCCCATTCTCCTCTTGGTAAATGGTCTTCCCATTCTCCCCTTGGTAAAGCTGTATATGTTTAGCAGCTGTTATGTAGACAGACATTCTACACTGTTTGTTTAGGGAAATGTGACCTTGTAATCTTTCACTTCTATAGAGTTCATACTGTATTGTTGGGTTGTAGGGTTTTGTTGTGGGTGGGGAAAACTCGGTGCCAGGCTGTCTGGTGGGGAAGGGGGTGAAGCTGTATATACTGAACTGTATAAAGATTGATTCATTTCACCCTACACAAAGTTCCGACTCGTGGTTTGGGATAGCAGGGAAGGATTGGTTTTGAGCTCTAATACCTGCCTTGGCAGAACACTGGAAGACTTGCAGGGGACCATTGGCTGAGATGCATCGCTCTGCACGAGGAAGCCCAGGCAGAACGGTTCCGTCACAACTGGTTGGCAGTGGTGGGATCTTTCTCATTGCAGAGAAAGTCCAAACCACCAACCAGGACCCCATCTTTTTCACGGAGACGTCCCTGCTCAGCCAGATGGATATTCGGGACCTCCGGAAGCCAGCTCTCCAAAGCCTGCTTGTTGCTCGGGGAGGTATCGCTGGCTGCAAGACCAGAGAGGAACTGTTGGACGAAATTATGGCCCTGAACCAAATGGATGCGCACCCCACTTTACCTGATGCACACTCCACTACGCTTGAAGCGAACACTGCTCCACCAGAAGTGAACTCTGCTTCACAAGAGGAGTTGGAGGAACAGAGGAGCTCATTGGCCCCTGAAACGCCAGGCCCACTTAGCACCGTACGGAGACCCCTATACCATTCAGATTTACGACAAGAGGTGGAGTGGCGTTTGGCTCTGTTCGGCAGCTCTCCCACCTCCGAAACAGATTTCTAAGGCCCTGGACGATGTCACCCAACTGCAGCTTAGTCACTCCCGGTCATCAACTGAGGGCTCGTTCTGGGAGGGGATTACCTCCTGCCTTCTCCAGACTGCAACTGGACCAAAGAAAATTCCCTACGCTGCTGTTAAAACTTTATCGGAGGTGGATGGGGACATTGACAGATTTTTTCAGGACTTTGAACGGTTGTGCACCATCCATGGTGTAGCAGCCCAAGACCGGGTCCCCATTTTGAGCAGCAAGCTAACTGGTCTGGCTGCAGACACATTCAGGACTGTACCCGACAGCTACTGCTTGGATTATTGCAGCCAAAATGGCATCCGGAGTGGCCGCATGATCACCAGCTCCAGCGCCCACCCGCTGGCAGCAGAATCTGGAACCCCACCGGAGATCCTGCCGACACCCAGGAGGGGTGCTCAGTCCCTCCGGCAGAGCTCCGAAAAACCTGCGGCCTACCGCAGCCTGCAAACCCACGGTCTGTCCTGCCGGCCGCCGTCACGAACCAGGACG